TATTTATGGTCGGAATTAAATGAGATTTTCCAGTGTAAGAATTATTGTTCAATTACATCTTGTGACATTTCTACATAACATCGAGCTATACACGACAATTTTATCAAATTATGTGTCTCTCAACGATTTCTTGATCTTTTAGTAAGATATATATGGAAGGACAGAGCTTTCTCTGCACTTTTCTTTTGAATTTAAACAATATTTAAAATATTTAGGTATTGCTTATGTTTTAGAATACTTTTTCATAATTTAAATATATACATATATATTTTTATTTTTGTAATTTAAAAAAAAAATCCTACTAGAATAATTTGCAATCAAGCCAAACAATTATGACATGGCATTGTTGAAGCTTTGAACGCTCTTCGCAGCTCTATGCAGCGCAGTCTCCACAACGCTGATGTAGCTGGTTTAATTGTTCGTATTACTTGAGGCGGAAAAGCGAGCAAAGCGACAACTGGCCTGGCCGAAGCCGACGCGCTCTTGAAAATTTCAACGACTTTACATTATATCTATTATAAAAACTTCGGTCCAATGTCTAAGATTGCAAATAATATTCTTCGCGGATGAAGGGTTGGCACAGAAATGAACATTTAACATTACTGGAAAATCAAAATTCTATAATTTCACTTCTCTACATATTGGAACTAAAATAAATGCGCTGCTTCTTTCTCTAAGAGAATCGATGATAGTTAATATTATTTTACTCACAGGACTAGAATTGAATGTATCAATTGTTTATAAACTTATGCGCAACCTTTTATTCACTCCATGTATTTTTCAGTGTCTAACAACAATAAAAAATTAGCGTTTCGCCGCGCCCAGCAAGGCGACGTAAGCTCGACTTTCTTATGTTGGCCAAAGTTCGCGCGAATGCATTGAAGCTGCACGGCCGCGGCTTCCAGCCGCCTGTTCGCTCGCCAAATCTTTACTTTGGTGTTTTTCTTGTAGAATTCGCGACTCAATTTGCATGCAATGTAAGCTGTATTCTTTTGGAGAAAAGCAGTATTGAGACAATAGAAGCTCAACAAATGTTCATTAGATTTTCTCGCCCATGTGTATGTACTGTCTATCGTATAAGTTTCTTTTATCTGTTTTTTTTCGGACCCTTGCGAAAGTAATTCGAAACGTAGATGTATATTTTTCGTTCAGCAGCTCTTTTATATTTTTATTTTCCGTTCATCTATGTTTATAAATTCTACTTTTGTTGTAACGTAACATTGATTTCTGAAACATTAACGATCTGAAGTGATTAACATGCATATTCTATTATTATAATTATTTGGATTCTATTTCTTCATCACCGCAATGCGGTGATGAAATATTATTAAATCGTAAATTCGATGGGTCGGGTATCTTAACGAATATATATTCACCATAAATGAACGATCGATAAATTTGAGTATTAGAATTGCGTGGATGAAATAACGTATTTAACCTGCAGTGCACGTAGAGGAAAGCTAATCTCGGCACTAATAGTTGTATCCGCAAAGCAAACTAAAAATTTTGGCTTTCATCTTATCTTGAAATGGATTTAAAAAATTCGCGTTAAGCGGCAATGAGATCAAAGGACCGAGCTTATTCAACGCACTGTAAGGTCGGCCGTCGCGGTCACGGTCGCAGCTTGCGAGGTAATTCTTTTGGCGATTTTCCAACCAGGAAAAATCCGGCTGAAAGCATCAGCAGATTCTTTTACTTTGAAACAAAGATTTCCTTATTTGATGAGGAAAACTGTGAAATCTATTGGCCGTACTAGATACGTTGTTACGCATCCTCGCAACTGGGCGCATTTGGAACTTTATCTCGAGAGATCATACAATTTCCAATAACCATTTAAAAATGCTACGTAATCTTCGACTCTTCATATTTAATATTTTTTCATAAAACAATGATGAGTTTTAATCAGCTTCAGCACAAATTTTCTACTTACTGAGACCAATGGGAAAAGTCGTGCGTATAAACCGAGGCATGTGAATGAGAAAATTTCAAAAATTTGTTGGCTATCTAATAAGCTTTTCAATAAAAAGGAATGCATCACTACAAGAAACGTATATAATCTTACGTAGTTGTTAGACATTTGATCAAAGTAAAAAAATAATTATATATGGCTCAATTGGCGCCATGCGAAGACATTTTTCTTTGGTTGTCAAATAAAATTTAAAATGTTCTCATTCCTTTTAATCACCTTGAAACTCCAAGAAATACCCTAATTTCATGAACATATTTAGTTTATTCAAACAATAAGAATATTGAAGAATTACTTTGAAGTGACCAATATGTACTACAATAAGAATACTTTTATTGAAGTAATAGTTACGATAATGGTACGAAACATGCATCGTGAGAAATTTAGAAAAATTCAAGTCTTCTTTTGGCTCATTTTCAACATAATTAGTAAACCTATATATACAATAAAGTTATAGTTACCCAAATATTTTTACTCGAGCAAGTTTTGGGCTTTTCTTTCTTTAGGCTTTTTTCTGTTTGGGCAAGAAAACACATAAAATATTTGTTTGTGGAATTGTGTAAAATATTGGAATAAAATTTCGACTTTCCTAACCAGAACGTAAGATATATTCGTTTTCTTTTTTGTTCAGATCAAAAAGTGACATCATGGTTTCTGTACTGGGATAAATGCCTAAAATTTTCGTTTTTCGTCCAGGGAATTATCCGTTCTTCTTTCTCAGATGAAAAAGAACCTGATATATTTGTTCCTCATTAGTGGCATCCATATTTCTCTAACAAGAAAAGATCCAAAATATTTGTATGTCGTCTAAGAAAAACAACTTCCTGATTAGAGTGATAAGGAAATGCCTGAAATATTTGTTTGTCGTCCTAAGACTTTAAATACTGTCTTCAATGCTCATATTTGAGATAAAAACTGAAAAATTCTTGAGGATGGACTGCCAAATTGCATTTGAACAGCGCCTGATGCGCCAAGCAGAAGGAATGGACGGCTGCCAATATGGGAGTCTCTTCTTCTAAAAAGTTCGTTCGCGTGATATTATTTCAAATTCACCAAAGAAAATCAACATTTGTCGTTTGTCGAATGTTCAAAAAAATTTCAATAGTTGCGCTTTTTTGGGGGCTTCATTGATTTTTTTGACGTTTGACATACATCTTTAGAATTTGTGCTTAACATTCATTGTGAAAGAGTTATCGAATAATTAACCTAGATTCATTTACTTTTACTTTACACGTAGGCAGGACTTCTCCATAAGCCACTTCTTTCCCAAACGTTAGGAAGTAATGAGATATTCTCTAAAAATTAATTTCCTAAATAAATTAATGGAGTTAGATTAATTTTCCTCGAATTAGTGAATAATTTAAATTATTCCAAGTCAAGGTATAAGGATCGAGCAATTAATCGAAAAACAGTTGACCGAGGCTCCAAAATTCGGGAAACTTCCGTAAATTCATATTCACTACACGAAAAGTTTTGAATATTCCTATCCGTTAACTATAGAAATATTCCGGTAACATAAACTTTCTGGTTTCTACTTAAGTCCTCATTTATCGTGTCGATAAATGCGCGTGCCGTGCCATGTTCTAGGAAGATCAGACTGAAATTTAGGTTCGAATATCAGCAAATTTTATTTCGTGGGACATGAGCTGACAGGTGTATCAAACCTGCAACACGCATCAAATGTGATCATACCTCTGCGCTACATCTTTAGCAGTAATTTTGTACAGCTTTGAACACACAAACTATTTGATTTTGCTTGCTATCAAACCTTAGTTATAATGCACTTTATTCGAATCCAGGACATAAACCAATATATATACTGAAATAAACGTGGTAAATTGAGTATTATTATCAGATATACGCGGAAGAACACCTTCTGATAATCTATACCTAGGTTTGGAAAAATTTTATTAATCAAAGACAAGATATTTGAACGCTTTTATCATGATATTTTGTCGTGTTGCCGACCAAAGTTCTCAGCCAAGCACCGACTTGCCCTGTCTTCAGAATAAAAATTAACTTAGTTAAGGGATTTTTTCTCGTAAGAGGCTACACCTCGGAACTGTAAACACTTGTGGCCAGCTATTATGATGTGATCCCCAGGTAAAGGATAAACTAAAACTTTCAGTGTTCGGTTCCCTTGACGGAAAGTTAAGTTAAATCTAATTCGGTGTTATAAAATGACATCAGTTTTGTAGTTATTCTTATTTTAATCAAATGGTCTATTAACATTCGTCAATCTACGAATTTATCTTAAAAAATATAATCAAAGTTTAACCGCGAAAAGAATACTATTCCAAAAAATATAACCCGGTACTCACTGCAGTGAGTGACAGAGAGCGAATTTTCTCAAAATCGACGAAAACGCGAAGTCACGGACAGACGGACGAATAGACCGACGGACGGGCGGACGGACATGACGAGCGCAATAGGCATTTTTTTCCGTAAATGAGAAAATGCGCTAAAAAGGTAATCATTCTTCAACGTTTTTTTAATCAATCAGACTGGAACCTGAACCACTAATTATCAGATAATCATCGAAGACGAAGGCAATTTTGAAATTTTTTCGAGTAGTCCCCTGCATTTTTCTTTGAAAATCTGTTTCAACACACAAACTATTTATAGCACTTGTTTCATTTAACTTATCTTCTGATTCTTGTGTTAAAAAAATGTCTTATTTTTTGTCGGAATTAGTCATTCCTGCAGAATTCCGATTATAATATTCTGAATTAGTCATTCCTGCGGAATTCCGATTATAATATTCTGAATTAGTCATTCCTGCAGAATTCCGATTATAATATTCTGAATTGGTCATTCCTGCAGAATTCCGATTATAATATTCTGAATTGGTCATTCCTGCAGAATTCCGATTATAATATTCTGAATTGGTCATTCCTGCAGAATTCCGATTATAATATTCTGAATTAGTCATTCCTGCAGAATTCCGATTATAATATTCTGAATTAGTCATTGCTGCAGAATTCTAAATATAATAAACGATGATTATGAGTTGTGGTTATTTATGCTCGATGTCTTACGAGAAATCAAGATGCACGGCAGCGGTGGGCAGCGCGTGGTGGTAGTGCATGCAAGACTCGCACTGCCACCAATCCTTTGATCCGCTCACCACAGCGTCGAGCTCGACTGCCTCACAAACGTCAAAACCACGACCTGCGTCTTCGTTTCCTAAGCTGCGAAAATTTGATTATTTAAAATATTAACTGTTGAACGATTAGTCATTTTCCCAGTTGAAATGTTAAGCCACACAATAACAGTTATGAAGGTGTGTGTAACATGGAAGCTTATAGAGCAATGCAAACTTTCACCTGCACGCATAAAAACATTGTTCAAGTATAAATAATTGGGTGTTTTGCGGAACAGAGACGAATTTTACTGCGCAATTCAAACAACAGGGGTTTGAGTTGACGCCAACTAAGCGGCTTCGCATGTTCAGTTGACCTCTAATGAAGTGAAATAGAATTTTCTATTCTATAGAATAGAAGAACTATTCTATAGAATAGTTCTTTAATGAAGTGAAATTTCATGTGAACTATAATGAAGATGAAATTTTCGCACAGGGTTAGAAATAATTCTACTCTATACAAAAACTTAGATCACGCGGATGTCCCGTGTAATCTTCTTCCCTGCGTTCCGATGCGATTTTTTTTTATTTCTCTCTTCATTCCTTCTACTTCTTTCTTCAAATTAAACCTCTGGTAAATTTAAAAATTCTGCAATTTGATATTCATTCAATAATTTAAAACTCAGTAAATTAAGGACAAGATGGCTGTTACTATTTGAGGCAAAATATTTTTAATGCCAATTTTCGTGTATAATATTCCGTAAATCAAAACCAATATATTAACGACGTGTAAATATTTTCCTCACAAGTTCCCTACTTTGAAATTTGCTACGCACAAATGCAGCCGAGAACAGCGAATGCTGTTTTCTAATCTGTTGCTCATCGTCAGGCGTAGGACGAGAGGGGCTGTCGCTCGTTGTAAAGGAATCAGGACTCACTCCAGAGATCCAAGTGAAGCTTGGAAGATCCCAAATTACGGTCCCTGAGTTAGTCCAGCCAATTGGGTCCACAGCCGCTCGAGAGTAACCAAACCAAGCCAAGGGAGGTGACAGAAACGCAACAGATTCTTAAACATATACTTAAGGTTGGTAAACTAAGGGGAAGCCCCAGATGCAGGACGGGCTCCGAGATGCAGGTACGGTCCAGGGAGCAGGCACGGCTCAGGACACGGGCACGGCTCAGGAAGCAGGTACGGCTCAGGAAGCAGGTACGGCTCAAGAGGCAGGTACGGCTCAAGAGGCAGGTACGGCTCAAGAGGCAGGTACGGCTCAAGAGGCAGGTACGGCTCAAGAGGCAGGTACGGCTCA